TCGGCATTCACAATTTCACTCGCCAATTCACTCCTCGACTGCTGGTTTCAGTGTGCTTTAGTGGGGTACTTGTTTCAATTCGCGGCCCAGAAAGTCCCGACCCCTTGCAGGGGGCAGTCTTCCGTACTGGATCCGCATCCGATTATCACAGGGGCTTGACGGCGGTCCCCTGAGGCCGACATCGAAGAATATCGGCCAGACTGGAAAAATCATGTCGTGGTCCACCGAGGTTCCGCCATATACCGTGTACCACGCAGCTTCCTCCACAGCTTGCACATCAGGTCACGCACGAGTTACATAGCTGGCACATCCACAGCGCAAGAACTTACATTCTGGGATCCTCTCTGTTTAATACTGTTGGGAAAAGGAAGAGGCAGGCTCCAGCCCCGACCACGCGGGCCGATAGGTGTCCTGATGTAGCGCAGAGCGCACAGCCTCTTGCAAGGCTGGTGCCGCGACCCCCCCTCTCCGCCTGCCTTTCGTACTAGCTGACTTGTCTGAGGCTCATCAAACATATATACAAATAGATCTACATATGTATATGTACAAGACGTGGAGGCTCGCTTCGCTTCGCCTCAAATCTTGGGCCTGCGTCCAGGCACTGCTGGGGGACTGCCGAAGGACTCGTCGGAGCCGAAAGGTAATGACCAAGAGGGGGGGGGGTCATGAGCCGAATGGCCCACAGGCATGCCTACGCCATGGGTGAAGGGCATGGTTGCGACAGGGGTAACGGTCATGACTTCGAGGGTGTGTGCGCCGTGATCGCCAGCGGGGTGAAGGTCATGGCATGTGGCCCGGGCAATGGCCTCGAAACCGATGAATGGGAACAACCCCGACGAGAAGACCGCGACGGGGATGAAGGTCATGATCCGGGAGGGGTTCCAGTCATGACCTTGATGGAGGTAGCATGGCCGTGGTACGTATGGGGCTCAAGTCATGACGGGCAAGGGGCTGTCGGCAATACGGGGAGGGGGTGGGACACGGTTATGACCATGAGGGGGGGAGGGTGGTACACGGTGGTAGCCGTGAGTGGGCTGTAAGCAATGAGATTGGTGGGTCACATGTGCAATTGCCCTGAGAGAGGGCTGATCATGATGACCGCGAGGGGGTCAAGGTCATGTCGGCTGAGCTGTCCACAGGATGCTGAAAGAACGGTTGGGCAAGCAAACGAAGTGAGGCAAGTTCACAATATGCGAAATTGTACACGCTCTGAGCGATCCGCGTTTGTCGAGCCCGTGGCCCCAGACCTTCGACGTTTTCACACCGCTTTGCCATCCCACTTTCGACTGTCTGGGGCTGGCTTGTCATCCCGAGTCGTTGCTAGACGGCCCTGGGAAGTGGAAGCGGCCCGCGGACACCGAGACCTTGGGGGAGCCGTCGGACACCGAAACTGTGGAGGAGCCAGAGTGCCTGTGGAGACGATGACGCTGACGATGAAGGAACGGCGAGGCACCTGCTGAGGTGACATGCTTCAATGGTCGTCCCAATGTGTCCTATCTGAACTCTGGCTTTGGAACCGTCTGGCCCTCCCTCGTGTCCGTCGTCTCTGAACTTCTAATTGCTTCTCGAAGATGAGACTGCAACTCAGTGAGGTCGGAAAAGGAGGAGGCGGGCTTGGAGGAGGGCTGAGGAGGAGGGGAGGGTGAGAAGGAGGAACACGATGAGGACGACGACGATGAAGGGTGAGGACGGGGAGGCAGGAGGAAGATAAGGATGGGGCATGAAAGGGCTCCCTTGGCTTTCGTTTGGATCCCTGGACGCCGCCTTGGGGCACGTTTGAGCGTCTTGGGAACCGCCTCGAATATGATGGTGCAACGCAGTGAAGCCCGAAAAGGAGGAGGGTGATGATGGGAGGAGATGGTGATGGGCGGAGGACAAGGAGCAACAGCAAGAAGGCGTACTGCCTTGTTGGAGACGGTAAAGGGGATACTTGATGGCCTTTTGGAATGCTCTTCAGGCTTCTGGGAGCCCTTCGAGGGCTTCTTGGAGGCCTCTGAAGGCAAATGTTGGGAAGTCTTGGGGAACTGAGACCGCTGGGGTAGAGAGGGGATCCGGGAGGAAGGGAGGGGGGAGGGGAGAGGGAGAATAGGGAGGGTCAGTGAGGAAGAAGGGGGGTGGAGGGGGCAGCAAGGGTGGGGAGAAGAGCAAGGGGGGGGGGCGGGAAGAGGGATAATAGAGGGGAAGAAGGGAACATCCCGTCTTCTTCATACTTTCTATAAGCATTAGTTTTTATCAGCCGTATTCGTATCATGTTTGTTGTTAACATCCCTCATCATACTCCTCTCCTCCTCTTCCTCCTCCTCCCTCCCTCCCTCCCAACCTCCTCCTCATCATCATCATCCTCCTCCTCCTCCTCACTTCTCCCTCCATATCCTCCTCGTCCTCTTCCATCTTCTCCCCTCCTCCCCCTCCTCCTCCTCCTCCTCCTCCTCCTCCTCGTCCTCCTCCTTGCACCTTCTCCTCCTTCTCCTCCTCCTCCTCCTCCCCCTCCTCGTCCTCCCCGTCCTATCTCTTCTCCCCTTCTCATCCCTTTCTTCTCCTTCTTCTCCTCCTCCTTCTCTCCTTTTCCCTCCTCTTCGTCATCTCTCCTCCTCCTCCTCCTCCTCCTCCTCCTCCTCCTCCTCCTCCTCCTCCTCCTCCTCCTCCTCCTCCCTCTCCCTGCCACCTGCCCCGCCGCCGACGGCGAGGGCGTCAACGACGGCGACCGACGGCGGCGACAACGCTCACGACGACGGCGCTCTTCTGCCCGGCGCCGACGACGAGCGGCGTCGAGCCGCCGCCGCTGCGCTTGACCGCGAGCGCGCGCGCCGCGGGGCTCTAATTCGCAAGAAGGGGCGGGAGCAGGCAGAGAGGGAGGGAGAGGCGTGGGCACGCCTTGTTTGTACTCCAGATTTCGTAATAAAGGGAGGGGGTCTGGGCCCTCCAGGACAGGCCATTTCAGACCTCCCCCGTGGGAGGACCCTCCAAAACAGCGTCCCCAGACCCCCCGGGCCCTCCAAGATAGCCTGGAAGAGACCCCCCCCCGAAATGAGACCCCCCTCCCTTTATTACGAAATCTGGAGTACGCATGTCCACCGCGTCTTGGGCGTGCTGGGCAGGGGCGCCAAAAGGTCGAGGCGCAGTGGACGTGGACAGGGGCCTCCAGGGGCCGGATTTCCCTTTCCACATCCCCTTCGCCTCGGGTGTCTGGGGAAGGAAGCCCGAACCTCCAAAATGCAGTCAGTGGGTCACGAGGAGGAGTGCGAGCGAGGAGTGAGGAGCGAGGAACACCGCTCCCAAGAGTCCCCAGGAGGAGGAAGCGAGGAGTGAGAAAGAGCTGGGAGGAGGAGGAGGAGGAGGAGGATGAGGAGGAGGAAGAGGAGGAGGAGGAGGAGGACCCGCAAGTGTCCCAGACCCCCTCGCGTCGACCAAGGTCATGACGGGCAGGTCTGGGCACTCTTGGGCCTCTGGGAGCCCGTGCCGACACCCCCGGGTATGGAGCCCGGGAGTGTGCCCAGGGCTCCGAGGTTCCACGGCATGAGAAATCATGACGTCGGGGGTCTGGGGAGGGAGGATGGGCAGGAGGGGGGAGGGAGGGAGGGAGAGAGGGAGAGGAGGGAGGGAGGAGGAGGGGGGAGGGAGGGGGAGGAGGGAGAGAGGGACAGGAGGGGAGGAGGGAGGAGGAGGAGGGGGAGGGGGGAGGGAGGATGGGCAGGAGGTGGGAGGGAGGGAGAGAGGGGCAGGAGGGAGGTTGGGAGACAACTCCTGGGTGGGCTTGCAGGCACGATCAGGAATGGTTATGAGGGTTACGAGGACCAGCTAAGGGACCAGTCAACCGGACGAATCCAGATTCAGCAAGAGATTAAGCGGATTTAGACGGGATTGTGCCAGCCTCTTTCAAACCACGGAGCAGATATACCAGTGCCGGTGCTGAACTTAACCTCCCAGGAGTTGCATCCAAAGGGAGGGAGGAAGGCGGTGCATCAGGGAAAGGGGTGAGGGAGGGGGCAGGAGAAAGGAGACATTTTCGTCAGGTTGCACTTGAGGCCTCCAATGGCCACAGTGCCAACGGTGCGCAGGCACCGTTGCACCCAAACCCCAGGCAGCTATCTTGGCTGGTTGGGGAGCTGCCTGAGGGCCCATCCCGACCCCCGGAGGTGCCCAATGCGTCAACATGGAGAATGGAAGCACGAGGGGGTCCAGCCACGACCCGCGCCCAAGGCGGCAAGCCGAGGTGGTGGTGCGGGACCTGGCGGCCCCCCCCGAGGACGGGGGAGGGAACGGTGCAGGTGTCCCCGAGTCATGCAGGAGGTGCCTGCAAGGGGAACCCAGCGCATACACCAAATGTTGGCTTCCATGTCCTGAGGACAGGCCGAGCGTTCCCGAGAGAACACCTGCACGGCCCTCGAGGAAGCACCGCATCCGTGACACCGAGTCCAGGGCCAGGTCCCCCTTGTCAGACGCAATGCCCGACATGAGCGTACAGCACACAATTCTAACTTCACGGAGCTCCGCGGGCAACAGATAACGGGAAGGAGAAGGAGGAGGAGAAGATGAGGAGGAGGCAGGCAACTAAACTTCGAAGCATCGTCGTAACGCAGCTGGCCCCTCAGGCGCGTGGTGCCCTCCTCCCGTTCCGAAGATGCCACTGGGTAGATAAGATTTAACGGGAGATCCGCCAGGAAGGGAGAGCGAGAGAGAGAGAGATAGAGAGAGAGGCGGGGAGTCACACACACACTCACACACACATACACACACATCTACGGTTATAGACACAGACGAGGGAGTGACAGAGAAAGAGAGAAAGAGAGAGAGAGAGACAAACTACAAACAATCATACATAACACCACACACACACACATTCACGCGCTAACAAAGGGGAGGGGCACGGGGCAAGATTGGGGGGCGCGAGGAGGGCGAGGGGCGACAGCATGGACAGAGGGATGCAGAGGGGAGGGATGCAGAGGCAGGCTGCGCGGCTGGAGGCCGAGGAGATGGGGATGGGCCCCGCCGAACGCCGCTCACCCGGACGAGCGGCATGAGCGCTGCTCGCACGACAGCGAGCGCCGCGGCCGCTCTAGGCCCTCGAGGCTGCGGGACACCTTGCGCTCCAGCAGGAAGCCCTCCACCGTGCCCCGCAGCTGGCGGCTCTCCTTGCGCAGCTCGTCCACCGCCGCCTCCTGGAAGCGCAGCCTCTGCGACAGGTCTGACACGGCGAGCAGCGACGACGCCTCGGCGCCGTCGGCGGAGCAGCTCGCCGCGGACGTCTCCGCCGCGGAGACTCCGAGCCCGGCGGCCGCCGCGCCCCCGCCCGCGCCGACGGCGCAGCTGTCCTGCAGCGTCACGGAGGCGGACATCTGGCTGCTCTCCAGGACCGTCTGCACCTGCTCCTCCACCGCGTCCAAGCGCTCCTGCACCTGCTCCTCCACCGCGCCCAGGCGCTCGGCGAAGCCCTCGACGCACTCCTGCAGGCCGTCCTTCAGGTCCACCATCGCGCCCCTGGTGGCCTCCGCGGCCTCGCTCCGCCGCTCTGCGAGGCGGGTCGCCTGCTCCAGCCGCTCGAGGTGTCCGTCGCTGAGGGCCTCCTGGAGCTGCTGGGCCAGCGACGCGCCTGCCCCCTCGCAGGCCGCCCAGCGCTCCTCGCACGCTGCCTTGTGCTCCTCCAGGCGGAGCTCGAAGGATGTGCCCAGCGACTCCAGGCGCCGCTCCACGTCGGCCCGCGAGGCCTCGCAGGAGGCCGCGGCGCGGTCTTGGAGGCGGGCCTCCAGCTCCTCCAGGCGTCGGTCCAACTGTGACGGCCCCGCGCTCTTAGCTGCTGCCTCCCGTGCGCTGGCGCACGGTTCCGAGCGTCCGCCTGCCCCCTCGCAGGCCGCCCAGCGCTCCTCGCACGCTGCCTTGTGCTCCTCCAGGCGGAGCTCGAAGGATGTGCCCAGCGACTCCAGGCGCCGCTCCACGTCGGCCCGCGAGGCCTCGCAGGAGGCCGCGGCGCGGTCTTGGAGGCGGGCCTCCAGCTCCTCCAGGCGTCGGTCCAACTGTGACGGCCCCGCGCTCTTAGCTGCTGCTTCCCGTGCGCTGGCGCACGGTTCCGAGCGTCCGCCTGCCCCCTCGCAGGCTGCCAGGCGCTCCTCGCACGCCGCCTTGTGCTCCTCCAGGCGGAGCTCGAAGGATGTGCCCAGCGACTCCAGGCGCCGCTCCACGTCGGCCCGCGAGGCCTCGCAGCAGGCCGCGGCACGGTCCTGGAGGCGGGCCTCCAGCTCCTCCAGGCGACGTTCCAACTGTTGCGGCCCTGCGCTCGCAGCCGTTGCTTCCCGTGCGCTGGTGCGCGGCGCCGAGCGCCCGCTCGCGGGCGCCTGCGCGGCGGCCTCCCGCGCGCTCCCGCACGAAGCGGACCGCCCGCTCGCGAGGGCCTCCGCTGCCAGCGCGCCCGGGCCGCGGCGCGTGGAGGCCGACTCGGCGAGCGCCTGCTGCGGCCCTCTGCTGCCCAGACCCTCCCACAGCTCTCGGCGCAGCCGCTCGAGCTCGGCGCTCAGCTCCGCCTTGGAGCCGTGGACCTGCCACTCCAGGTCGGAGCGCAGGTTGTCCACCAGAGTCTGCAGCGCACGCTCGACCTTCACAGCGTGTCGGGCCGAGTGGGACCTTTGCGCGCGCGCAGCCGCTGTGATGCCCTGCTTGTCTGCAGGCCTCGCCTCTGCGCGCACCACCCGTGCGGCCTTAGCCGCCGCTTCTGCCGCGCCGGCGCGGCGGTCCGCTGCCTCGGCGCGGTCCTGAACCTCACGCAGCCGCTGCGCCCAACGCCTCAACTCTTGACCGAAAGACAGCGCCACGCCGTCCACACGTGCCGCCACCTCTTCGACACGCGCTTCCACCGAGCTCTTCGCGGCGGAGGCGGGCGGCGAGGCGGGTCGCGGCCGCAATGGCGTGGGAACGGAAGCGACCGCGACCGACCGCTCCACCATCTGCAGCCGCCGCTCGACCTCCGCCCAGCGTGGGCCAGCCAGCTCCTCCGCCGCGGGGCGCCTTACCTCTTCCGCCGCGGCCCGTGCGCCACGCTCAAGGCCGAGCTGTCGCTGCTCAAGCATTCCCAGCCGCGCCTCCGCGGCCGCGGCGGCCTCGTCGGCGCGTTGCCGCCACTCGCGAGCCTCGGCCTCCCGGCCCTGCGTGCGCTGCAGCTGCCGGCAGTCCACGACCAGCTGATCGACCGAGGCGGCCAGGCGGCGCGACTCGGCGCGGAGCTGCTCGACCTTGTCGTCCCCCCGCAGCTGGCGCGCCTCCGCGCACAGCGCCCCCGCGCGCAGCTGCTCCTCCAGCGCGGCGATGCGGCCCAGGGCTGCCTCCATGCCGTACTCCGAGGCCGCGGCGATCTCCCCGCGCAGCTCCTCGCGCAGCGCGGCGCAGCAGCCCTCCGCCTCCGCCTGCCACGCCGGCACCGCCTCCTCGGCGCGCAGGGCATCGCCCTCGAGGCGCTGCAGGCGCTCGCGCAGCTCGCGCAGCTCGGCCGCCTGCTCGGCCGCCTGCTCGTCCAACGCGCCGCGGACGCCCGCGAGCCCGCGGGACGCCTCGTCCCGGGCCTCCCGCAGCCCCTCGGCGAGGTCCAGATGCCCCTGCCGCGCCTCCTGCGCAGCGCGCTCGCATGCCTCGCCCGCCTCGAGCTGCCCCTGCGCGAGCTGCTCGCCGAGCCGCCGCGCCTCGCCCTCGACCCAGGCCTGGAGGCTGCCCTCGCCGGCGCGCAGCTGCGACAGGCGCGAGTCCGCCTCGCACACGGCCTGCTGCAGGGCCTCCGCGCTGCACTCGGCGCGGAGGTCCTTTGCGCACAGAAGGCGCTGGCGCGCCACCCGCCGCGCCCGGCTGGAGCTCCCCTGGGTCCTGGGCGCAGTGTGCTGCGCCCTGCTGGGCGAGGCCAGCACACCATCCGTGGTCCAGGAGCCCAGGGATGGCCCTGAGGCCGGGCAGTGGTGGCGGTGTAGTGCTGCCCGCTGCAGAGGAACGATGCACGGCCAGCGCACACCTCCAGTGGTGGGCTTGTTCTCAACCGCCACCACCATAAGTAGGAGGGGGAGGGGGACCTCCTCCTCCTCCTCCTCCTCCTCCTCTTCCTCCTCCTCCTCCTCTTCTTCCTCCTCTTCTTCCTCCACCTCCTTTCCCCCTCCTCCTCATGCTTGTGGTGGAAAACAGGCCCATCATCCAGAGGTGCGCGCGGATGGTTCTGCATCGGAACGGCAGGGAGGGGGGCCCAGTGCCACCTGCGGCGGTTGATGTGCTCGTGCGCACAAGTGCCGTCTCCGACCTCCGACGTCGCGATTGTCTCGCAGCGTGGACCCCCCGAAGATCCCGACCCCATCCCCGGGACCTGGTCTGTCGAGGACCCAAATACCGTGTGGTGACGGACGGCGTTGCCTCCTCGGAATCCCCGACGACCTCACCATGCCATCCGTCACCGCACGGTTTGAGGACCTCGGAGGCCCCAGCCGCCCCAGACGTCCTCGAAGAAGGAACCGAGTCCCAAATCCGTGCGGTGACCCCGAATCCCCACTGACTTACCGCGCGGTGGGGTCACCACACCGTTTGGGGGCCTCCAAAGTTTAGATCCCGTTCTTCGGGGACCTACTGACCCGGGTCAATGTCAACCCGGGTCAGTCAGGGCTTGCAGGATCCTGCACCCAAACCCAGGTCAATGTACCCGCGGCTTGGCAGGACCCTGCAAGATCCGGCGCTCTGACAGACTCCCGTTTGCATTGACCCCCGTCTCTTGAGCCCCGAGTTCTTGGACAGCACCGGGGCCCTGAGAGGGCCCCCCCGGGGGCCGAAGAAGGCCCAAGCCCTCCCGTCGCGACGCCGTTCGCGACGCCAGGCGGCGGGGGCGCTGCGGGGCCTGCAGCATCTGCGCGTGCATCGAGGACATCACGGCGGCCACCTCTTGACATGCCAAACAACCGACCCTGTCCTTAACGGCAGCGACCGCTTTTGGGCGGCCAGCCCAAGGGGGAAATCAGGGGGCGGGCCTGGCTCAAAGAGCCTCCCGCCTTCTAATAAGCTTTGAAGCCTTCTCCGAAGAAACAGTCGGCTTCTCAGAAGGACTGAGGGCCTGAGGGCTTCTGAGAAGCCCCGCCGTCTTCTGAGAAGTCCTGCCCCCTCGCACTTGCCCCCCCGGCGCACCGCCGAGTCGCGAGTGGAGAACGCCCAGGGCGACACCGACAGTGACTCCTGTTCCCAGTAGGCAGAAACTTCTCTCGGCCTTCGTCCCCGTCTCTTTCGTACGGCAGGTTCGGGTCGCGACGACCCCGGCGTGCGTCTCTGACAACCGCGTGGGCCGTTCGACCCTCGGCGATCGGTGGCTCCCCATGTCGCCGAACACCTCCACACTGGCAGTTTCTGGGCCCCCGTCGGCGCTCCCCCTGGAACGCCTGCGCGGGGGTCGCCGCCGCGTCGGCACGACACAATCCGGCCGTACGCATTGTGCAGCCGCGCCGATTGTCCTCGCTGCGCCCGAGGAGACGGCGCCGACACCGCGGCAAACCCAAGGCGATTCCGCCGCGCCCGAGACGGCGTTTGCCCCGGTGGCCGCGGTGTCGGCGTCGTCCACTTGGGCGCGTCGGAACAAATGGCTCGGCGACATGACGTACCGAACCTTGTCCACCAGGCCGTCCAACTGCCGCTGCTGCGCCACCGCCGCCGCCCGCAGGTCCGAGATGCCGGAGGCGGCGAACGTGGAGGAGGCACTCGGCGGCAGGACGTCCGACGGGCTGCGCACGAGCCCGCGCCCACCGCTCGCCCTCCTGCTGCTCTGCCCTCCCTCCCCTACCGCTCCTCCTCCTCCTCCTTCTCCTCCTTCTCGCTTCTGATCCATACCCCGATGAACTGGTCCATACCTCGGTGAACTAGGCCAGTCCCCAGTGACACCCCAGGGAGTGGACCAGTTTGCGCGCGTTCCTATAGCGAATGATTCCGAAAGGTGTCGTCCTGGAAGGGTCTGAAAACCAAGGTATGCCCATGTGCAACCATTCAGGTTCTCAAATAAGTCACTGATGAATGGATCGGTCGATGCGCGATGAAGTTGTGCACATAGCAGTCGAAGCAGTGGTAGCAATAGTCATAGTAGTAGTAGTAGTAGTAGTAGTAGTAGTAGTAGTAGTAGTAGTAGTAGTAGTAGTAGTAGTAGTAGTAGTATAGTAGTAGTAGTAGTAGTAGTAGTAGTAGTAGTAGTAGTAGTAGTAGTAGTAGTCGTAGTAGTAGTAGTAGTAGTAGTAGTAGTAGTAGTAGTAGTAGTAGTAGTAGTAGTAGTAGTAGTAGTAGTAGTAGTAGTAGTAGTAGTAGTAGTAGTAGTAGTAGTAGTAGTAGTAGTAGCAGTAGTAGTAGTAGTAGTAGTAGTAGTAGTAGTATTAGTAGTAAGTAGTAAGTAGTAAGTAGTAAGTAATAGTAGTAGTAGTAGTAGTAGTATTGTAAGCAGCAGTAGTAGTATAGCAGTAGTAAAGTAGTAGTAGTAGTGGTAGTAAGTAAGGGTCGTAGTAGTAGTAGTAGTAGTAGTAGTAGTGAGTAGTAAGTAGTAAGTAGTAAGTAGTAAGTAATAGTAGTAGTAAGTAGTAAGTAGTAGTAGTAGTAGTAGTAGTAGTAGTAGTAGTAGTAGTAGTAGTAGTAGTAGTAGTAGTAGTAGTAGTAGTGGTAGTAGTAGTAGTAGTAGTAGTAGTCGGAGTCGTATGAGTAGTAGTGATACGAATGATAAGAATAATAGCGTAGTAGTAGTAGTAGTAGTAGCAGCAGTAGTAGTAGTAGTAGTAGTAGTAGTAGTAGTAATTGTCGTAGTAGCGGCAGTAAAAGTAGTAGTAGTAGTAGTAGAAGTAGAAGTAGTAGTAGTAGTAGTAGTAGTCGTAGAAGAACTCGTTTTAGTGGTAGTAGTAGCAGTAATCGTAACAATAGCAATGGTAGTCGTAGAAGTTGTAGCAATAGCAATTTTAGAAATCGTGGTAGTAGTAGAAGTAGTGGTAGAAGTAGTAGCGGTAGTAGTCGTAGTGATAGGTGTTGTCGTAGTAGGAGTAGTGGTAGTAGTAGTAGTAGTAGTAGCAGTAGTAGTAGTAGTAGTAGTAGTACTACTACTACTAGTAGTCGTAGTCGTAGTCGTAGTAGTAGTAGTAGTAGTAGTAGTAGTCGTAGTAGTAGTAGTAGTAAAACAAGAAAACGTTGTAGCACTGAGAGTAAAACCGGAATATCAAATATAGTCGTCGCCGTAGAAATAGTAGTACCTGCACTAGTAGTAGTAGTAGTAGTAGTAGTAGTCGTAGTAGTAGTAGTAGTAGTAGTAGTAGTCGTAGTAGTAGTGATAGTAATAGAGGTACCAATGGTAGTCGTAATAGTACTAGTAGTGGTAGGAGCGCTTGGAGTAGTAGCGGTATGCATGGTAGTAGCCGTAGAAATAGTAATCGTAGCGTTCGCCTTCGTAGTTGCAGTCGTAGAAGTAGTCGTAGTTGTAGTAGTAGTCGTATATCTAGTAGTAATAGCAGTAGTGGTAATAGGAATAGCAGTAGAAGTCGTCGATATTAGAAATGCTCGTAGCCGTTGTAATAGTAATAGAACTACTAGTAGTAGTAGTAGTAGTAGTAGTAGTAGTAGTAGTAGTAGTAGCAGTAGTAGTAGTAGTAGTAGTAGTAGTGCGAGTCGTATGTGTAAAAAAGTAGTCGTAGTAGTAGTGGTAGTAGTACCAGCAGTAGTAGTACCAATCGAGTAACACCATCATAATTGTAGTTGTAGCACTAGTAGCGGTGGTCGTAATAGTAGTCGTAGTGTTGTCAATAGTAGTTGTAGCTGCAGCAGTAAGATTTGACGTAGTAGTCGTCGTACGAATAGTGAGTTCAGCAGTAGTGATAGTAGCACCACCACTCGTGAAACGAACAACAACAACTATGAAGCGTATGCAACACGAAATCAAGCCGCATATGGCACGTCTATGAGAACATATGACACGCAAACGAAGAGCATGTCAACGACAAACGCGACCGCAGTCATTATGAAGCGTATCGGATACGCCCATGGAAAAATATCTGACGTGCGAGACGCAATTGAGCAATCCATGAAATCCATATGGCACGTTGGAACGTATACAAAGTGTGCACGGCACGTATTCGACACGTATACGGCACGTGCGTAAGACGCACGCGAAACAAATACGCAACATATATTGAAAAACACGGGCGTGTAGGGCACATCTGCGAAACGTGTGCGGAACGCATGCGGAACCTATACGATATCTAGACGATACGTTTACGGATTGTACGCGAAACGTGTGTGGAACGAACACGAAGTTCGTACACCTCCGATACGAAAACGTTTATGACACATGCACGGAACGTGCAATGGACGCACTCAAAACGTTCACGGCACGCATACACAGCGTATATAGAACGTATAATAATCGACACGTATACGGCACGTGCGTAAGACGCACGCGAAACAAATACGCAAAATACATTGAAAAACACGGGCGTGTAGGGCACATCTGCGAAACGTGTGCGGAACGCATGCGGAACCTGTACGATATCTAGACGATACGTTTACGGATTGTACGCGAAACGTGTGTGGAACAAACACGAAGTTTGTACACCTCCGATACGAAAACGTTTATGACACATGCACGGAACGTGCAATGGACGCACTCAAAACGTTCACGGCACGCATACACAGCGTATATAGAACGTACAATAAACGCATCCAGGACGTGCGCTGCACGTGTACAGCGCGTACCCATTATCCTCCCCTTTTCGTCCTCCTCAGGGCGATTCTAAGATGCGGCCCTGAAGGACGGGACCCTGAGGATAGGAAGCCTGGATTCATTGAGGATCTCGTCCCTCAGGGCCCCATCCCTCGGGCCCCCACCTTTGAACCGCCGAACCTCCTCTGCCTGCGGCTCACCCCCTCCCCTCCCCCTGGCCTCTTCCCCCTCTCCTCCTCTCGCGCGGCGGCGGCGACAAGGACGACGACTGCGACGGCGACGGCGGCGATCTCCATGGGTCCCCCGAGGATTCCGAGATCATCCAGAGGCGCGAAGGTCAGGTCAGGTCACCTCGCCCGCAGGAGGGCGGGCCCAGCGCGGGGGACAAACAGGTGCCAGCGCACTGCTCAAGCGAGCAGGATGAAGAGTGCAGGAGGAGGGAAGGAGCGAGGAGGGAGGCGACAGATGCAAACAGCATCGCAACTCCCACGACGACATCTGGAAACCTCGATCCTCGAGCCTCGGCGCTGGCGGCGACGGCGCCCAGCGGCGCGGGCGGCGGCCGGATCCTGCCCAGCAGGTCCGCCCCGGCCAGCACGCGGGGGGCCGCGGGCGGCCCCGCAGCCGCTGGCCACATGGGGCCCCCCGAGTGCTCGAACGGCGCGCGCGCGCGCGCCTGGGTGGCGCGCCTGCGGGGCGGGCCTCTGAGGCGCGAGCTGGCTGCGTCCCGGGCTACAGCCTCCCCGCTCGCGCTCCTCTCGGAGGGACGACGGGCACCGCTACCGCTGCCTCCCGGAGGACCTCCCCGAGGGTGCGCTCGGACCAGAAAATTCGAGGAGAGGGGGATGCCCGGCCGGGGCGGCGAAGGCTCTCCGGGGCGAGCAGCGGTGCAGCGGCACCCTCTCCTCCCCTCATCAGCGCCCTCCTGCCGGTCCTGGCGGCCCCGTCTTCGCACAAAGACGGCCGCGGCCGGCAGGAATGACCCCACATCCAACATGGCAAACAAGAATGGCACACTTTGTGAACACAACCAAGACCGCAGCCCTGGACCCCATCTTTCCCGCGTCATTTGTCGAGCCCGATCGATCTGTGAGGGCCCCGGGGTCCCGAAACCGGGCGAAAACGCCCCCTGTGACAAAACTGCAGTGGCAAGATCCGAAGCATCGCGCGCGCGCTGGAGAGGGAGGCTCTTGCCCCATGTCCCACAGGCGCGCGGTGGCTCGCCCGCACATCCTGCTGCCGCCCGCTGCGCGGAGCCCAGGGCGGCCGACCCCGCCCCCCGAGGCGGCTCCCACGCGGCGGGCCGCGGTGCCCCGAGCACGCACTCGGCGGCCCCCGGGGGGTCTTCGCCGCCGCGGCCCTCCCCGACGCGACATGCAGTTTTTGCCATCTGTGCCCCGCCGGCGCCGTGCCCCTGCCCTCAGTCCGCTCCCCCCGCAGCTGCCTCCCTGCGCAGGAAAAGCAGCTGCGAGCGGCCCCGTGGGCCGAGCGCCGCCTCCATCTGCAGCCGGATGGGGGCCGCGGCTCCACCACCAGGGCCGGCTGGCGGGGAGCAGGAGCCGGCCCATCCCCGCTAGACCTCCCAGTGGCCCAACGATGAGTGACAGCAATCCTGTGGGCAGACGCCGAGATCGCTCGTTCGCTATACCTCCTGCCTCCTCTTTCTGGCCCTCCCCTCACATCCGGGCGGCGTGAGGCGTCGCGACGGGCGGTCTTTTCCCCGTTTCGGGTTCGGGTCCTGGGATCCGCGCGGGGTGGTCCAGATCGAAACGACCACGTGCAAAAATGGGCCTGGAAGCTCCGGTTGAAGACTTCTTTGACGGCGTTGCGCTTTCCCGCCCACTGCGACCGCGTTGCCGCCCTCCCGTGGGGCCCTCGAAAGAAGCCCCCAAGACAGCCCCACCGTCGCCTACGCCACGGCGCTGAAGCTCAGGTTCCCAAGGCGCAGTGGTGGATAGGCACCATGAGAAACAAACAAACATGATAAACATACGCGTTCGGAGGTCCGCGCGACCTCCGACATTGCATGCTTACGCAATTGCTCGCGTTCTCCAAAAAGCCTTGCCTACACGATTCCTAGCCCAATGGACTGGAGAACTGTTCCGTTAGTCCCCCTCCCCGCTGTGTCCCAGACTATTGCGATGGCTTCCTCACCTAGTGCAGTGGCTGCCACTGCTATTGCAATGGCTTCCGCAGAGTAGAGTCGAGAAGAGTAGATGAGTAGAAACTAGTAGCATGGAGTCGAGTGGAGTCGAGCAGATGAGAGCAGAGTAGGCGTAGAACAGAGAATAGCAGAGTATAATCGGGCAGGGTAGGGTAGGGTAGATGGGGAGGTCGTGTTGATGGCAGAGTAGCGTCGGGCAGGAAGAGTAAGAGTGGTGGTGAATAACATCAAAAATAATACAACCATAATGTAATACATATTAAGCTACTACATTCGAATAAAATAATGCTGAGCTGAGTACAGTAGAGGAGGGTCGAGTGAGTAGAGTAGAGAAGGGTAGAGTAAACCAGATCATAGTAGAGTAGAGTATATCAGAGTAGGATGGGGTAATATAGAGAAGTCGAGAATAGAGCAATGCAGCATTGATGATAGAGTAGAGTCGGGCATGACGAAGAGAGTCGGGTTTCATAGACTAGACTAGAGTAGAGCAAGAGTGTAGAGAAGAGAAGGGTAGACTGGGGTAGAGTAGGAGTAAACTAACATTGAACAGAGCAGGAGTAATGTAGGGCAGGGTTGAGTAGGGTAGAGTAGAACAGAAGATAATGCACCACCGTGCCGCGGGGCACGGAGTGGGCGTGTCCTCCCGTCCTTTGCCTGATCCCCTAAGCGCTCCAGCGGAACCTGCACCGGGCCCGAGCACCCCAAATCCTAAAAAATCTCCGGGGTCTCGGCGCGTGCCCCCTGGGGCTTGTCGCGTCTTGCAGCTCGACATGTTCGGAGCCAAGAGGGCGCCAAGACGGCCCCAGAGGGCGCCGAGACGGCCCACGAGGCGCCCAAGACGACCCGAGAGGGTGCGCGGACGGCCCCAAGAGGGGGCCCAGATGGGAACCGAACTGACAGACATTTCGAGCCCTCGGGCCCGAGGGGCCCGCAGGAGGCCCCCAAGAAGTCCCAAGAGGCCCTTGAGGCCCCAGGAGATGCCTGAGAGGCCCCCAAAAGGCTCCCAAGAGGCGCCCAAACCCCAAACAGCTCCCGAGAGGCCCCCAGTAGCGCTCGGAAGAGACCGTAAGAAGCATCCCTGAGAATTCTGATCCACAACCCAGGCACGGTGGCTGGAGTGGCCGAAGGCCATTAGATATAGTAGGGTAGACTGGAGCATAATCGATAAGAATGGGGTAGATCGTACAATATAATCTGGTTCGGTCGACTAGAGTAGAGTGAAATAAAATCCACCCCCAGTCCAATCCGGTCCACCCGAGTCCGGTCTACTTCAGTCCACCGCATTTCAGTATTCTGATCTACTTGGAGTCTGCACTGGCTGATATTCGAATGACAAGGTGGTCTCCTCAGCGTCGTCCTTCACCAGCTTCCCGGGCCAATTCCTCTCGAACGTGCGCAGCCTGGGCTTGCCCTCTGGGAGGCAGCCCCTTGTCCGCTCCTGGCGACTGGGGGCGGGATGGCGGTGGGACGTTGCTCATGAAGATGCGCTGAGATGGGCCGAACCTCCTCGTCATCTTCCCCACGTCCAATCCACTCACCCCACCGATCTGCAACATGTCGATCTTCGTTCGTGCACATTCACCAGTCTTGTGTAACATAAACATCCGAATTCTTCATAGGCTACCCTTCGGTAAACTTTGGAATCCAATCCGCAATTCTGGTATGAATTCCGAGGCTGACTCAGGCTTCTGATTCGATGTGCATGTCAACTGCACTTGCATACACAAGTAACCTTCCGGTTCGAGCTGCAGTTCGATTCACTTTCCCCACGAATTCCCCGGACGGTGCTTGCGCTCTGGGGTTCCTACGTTGCGTCCTTCACGACCTGAATGGGTTTCCCGGGCTTGCGCCACGCTGGCGCCCATGTACGTACGCTCGTGGGTGCCTCGTGGGCGCCCCGTGCGCTGGGTATGTTTTCCCGAAGAATTCCCCTCGCTGGCACCCGCGCCCGCTCGCGGGGCGCCCGTGGGCGCTCCGTCGGCTCACACCGCACGGCTTGCACAGCAGAGCGTGCACCTCACAGCCTGCACCAGAGAGCTCGCAGCGCACTGAGCACACCGCTTAGCTCACAGCACACGCAGCGTGTAGGTTGCACCACGTAGCTTCCACACAGCTTCCTCTGCGGAGCTTTCACCAAGTAGCTCACACAACATACATCACACGAGTTAACCCACGCCGTACAGCTTACGAGGGACGGTTTGAACCACATCGCTCAGAACCACCTAGCGTACACCACACAGCTTACACGAGTAGAGCTCACACAATACAGCTTACACCACCGAGCTGTCATCACATAGCTTACTGCAAATGGGTCGCACATCATAGCTAACGCCACAGATCACATAACTCACAACGCAGATCTTACACTACATAGCTTAAACTGCATAGCTTGCACAACAGCTATTCCACATCCAACGCACAGCAACTCGCTGCAGCACTGGCTAGCATACTTAGTTTGGTGTGTACGTCGGTGTGCAATGTGGACGCTCGTTCCTTGTTGTCCATGCATGTCGATATGTAGACCGATGTGCATGTTGGTCGTACTTGCATGTGAATTTAGATGCGCGGGGCGATGTGCAATTCGATTCGCGTATCGAGTTGGGCCATCGCTACACTGAGATGCTCATACATGTTTGCGTGTCCCACGGGGCAGCCGCGGGGCAACCTGCGGAACAACCACAAGACGACCCACCGGATAATCACGTAATAACCCCCAAAACATCCAATGGGACAACCAACGGAACAATCCAACGGACAACACGCGGGACAACCACGGGACAATCTACGGGCCAACGACGGGCCAACCCACGGGACGACCAGCAAGACAACCACGGGATATTCACGGGACAACCCACGGAACAACCACGACGGCGCAACCACGTGCCCATGGGCCAACCACAACATTACAAGAAACAACCATGGGACAACCCAAAGGACAACCCGCGCTCACGAGAGACGCGACAGGAGAACCTCTTGGCCACAGTTGGTCTTAGCCTTGTCGCGCAGCGTACGCTCACGCACAGAGACCCAAACAGACCCCGTGGTCGGAGCCACTTCGGCCTGAAGCCCCAAGCCTGCAGGCGCGGATGCGACGTCGCGGTCAGTCGCGTGCGAAGTGGCACAGCAAGGGTTGTCCCACAAAGCAGCCGATGCGCTGATGATGAAAACTGTCAATTCCCGCACTCAGGGACAGTAAGGCCCACCATGCTAAGCACCAGCCGCGAACACGGAAGATGGATCACGGAAGCCTGGAAAGGAGAGTGGGCAATCGTCCCCCCCCATAGCCCCCCCCTGGGGACCCCAAACCGGCAATTCGACCCCCCTCCCGGGCCGCGGACGGCCCACCCCCGAACCCATCAGGGGCGGCCTGGGCTCCGCAGGCTCGGCCTGGAGCTCCAAGACTCCCCGTCGAGCCTCCCAAGACACCCCCAAGACGGCCCAAGAGATCCCAGACTCGCCGAATGATCGATTCAAGATGCCCAAGAAGCCGCGAAGACACCCCGAGAGGCCTCCAAGAGGCCCCAAATCGTCAAAGTCCATCGGGAAGCATACACTTGTAGCATATATGAGTTTTCGTCCTGCGCGGCGTTGAAGAACATCCAATAGGCACTCAAAACCTCCCCACGATTGCCCACAACCCTCCCACGCCCTCCCACGAATCCCCCAAGACGGCCCCAGAAGGCTCTAAGCGGGCCCCGGAGGCGCCCAAGACGGCCCAAAAGTGCCCCCCAGCATGCCCCAGACAAGGCCCAAGAGGGGAACCTCGAACCGAAAATATAAATTTTCCGCCCGAAGAGACTCCCAGGAAGCCCGAAGAGGCTCCCGAGAGGGCCCAAGAGGCCCCCAAAAGGCAGCCAAAAGCCCCCGAAGGCCCCCAAGAGGCTCAAAAGAGGCAGCAAAACGGCTCCCAAGAGCCTTCGAAACTGCCTCCAAGAGGCTCACGAGAAGCCTCCCTACGGCTTCATACCCACAACCCAGGCGCAGCGGTTGGATGGGCCGAAGGCCACGAGACACTCTCACGGAGTTCAGCCGTAGCGACAATGCCACCCCAGGCAGTCCGATCCACCGCCTCTATCATCATTTTCTTCCCCTGGCCCCCAAACAGGAACAACGACCAACTCCCTCCCGTTCTATCATTCCCTCCTCATCCAATTTCCCCTGGCGTAGCCCTCGGGAACCTGCCTAGGAGCCCGGACGGCCCGGGAAGAAGTCGTGAGCCAAATAAGGGTGATCTCGGAGAGTGTGCCGACCCGGGGCCCAGGCCGCCAGTACCACGGCATATAACATACATGTGCCTCATGTCCTCCCATCGCGTCCAAGACAGCTCAAAAGGCCCCCAAGTGGGATGCAAGAAGGCCCAAGGGCCGCGGATTCCAGAGAAGACCTGGGAAGCAGTACCTCGGGAAACAAAACATAACCAAGGGTCGGCGGATGTGGCGTAAACCTATAGAATCAAGGAAGCCTAGAAAGAAGAGTGGGCAACGCGGTCGCCAACAACGGATGTCACGCGCGCGCAGAAATACACACTACGTGCAATATTGAATGATCCTCAGACCGTGTGCTAACGCAAACGTGTGCTTGTCCGTCGAATCCTTTCAACTCGACGCGGGTGGTGCAGCTAGGGCCGCTGCAGGCTGCGCGCGTTATCGATGGAGCTGCACGGGCATCCACACATCGGGATAACATACGCCTTCAGGACCATCGACACCATCCAGAGCCATGGCAAAGTTTGCGCCGCGCCGCGCGCGTGGCCCCCACGGCATGGCCTGACAGAGGTGGCGCGCGATCAGCGCGTATGACCCGCGTGGCATTGCATGAGCGGGGTGGTGCCCGTCCAGCGCGAGCGCGTGGCCCACATGATCTGTCAGTGCTGGTGCTCACTCGACGCGCGCGCGTGCGGCCCGCAATTGCACGAGCCGACTCGGGTGTTGCCCGCCCAGCGCGCGCGTGGCCCCAGTATCTGGGGCCCACGCGTGCACAGAAAAGCGGCCCAGGCTGGGTGCAACCTGCCAGGACCTGGTGGGGCCTGAGGCCAAAGGCGAGCTCGATGAGGGCTACCGCTGTGGGTCTGGATGGACAGAGGCTCTCAGGTCTGGGAGTGCATCGAACCGAAAGGTAGAACGTGGCGGCGGTCGTCGGACGATGACAGGCGTTGCCGCGTGCTCCGATCTTCAGCTGTCTCGAAAGAGCACAGCGGAGAAAAGGCATAGGAGCGAGGAGGATGAAGAAAAGAAGAGGTGAGGAGGGAGGAGGGAGCATGAGGAGGCGGCGGCAGAGGGGGATGAGGAGAGAGAGGCAGAGGAGGAGGGGGAGGAGGAGGAGGAGGAGGAGGAGGAGGAGGAGGAGAGGAGGAGAGGAGGAGGAGGAGGAGGAGGAGGACGAGGAGGAGGAAGGAGGACGAGGAGAGGGCACCCGCATCCAGAGGATGGCGACGATCCATCATCTGATAGAGAAGGCCACCGATGGCCGACGACGCGGCTGCGCCAGAAGATGTGGGCTCCGTTCTGGCGAAAGAAACGGTCTGGAACCAGTGAGGCGGGAGAATCGAGTGGAGAGGCTGGAGGAGTGGAAGGGAAGCAGGACGAGAAGAAGGAAGACATCTGGCCTGTGGGTGACAAACATTGGAGAGAACTGCTCTGCAGTGGGCACATCTAAAAAGAAACTGGCTTGCCTGCAGACTGCAGGTGCTCAAGGAGAATTTCTTATTCCCCGATGGCCCCTGAGACAACGTTAGGCACAAAGGCACAAAGGCACCTCAAGGAGCTCAAAGACCGACGTCGACTGTGCCCCTAGACTTCTGACAGTAGGATTTCTTCTCGTCATGTGCCAGCTGTACTCTCCAGCCGTGCTCGTTTCTAGCTGCTCTCGTGTGGGCAATCGCCCCTTGCCAGAGAGCAGCCACAGCACACACACACACACACACACACAGGAGGCACGGCACCCGGAGACGCCGCAGAACCGGGAGCCGCGGAGCCTCCACCTGAAGGCATCAGAACTCGGGCCTCCGACGTCGTGGGAGCTCGGGCGGCCGACGCGTGACTCCCCTGGGGGGGGGGGCTGCGGACCGTGTCCTCGGGACCAGCTCGTCATCCCGGGTGGCTTCGTTACCGTCTGGGGGGCCGGGCGAGGACCCCGGAGGGCCGGAGGCGCCCGACTGGGGCGTCCGACTCGTGACTCCCCTGGGGGGGGCTTCGTTACTGTCTGGGGGCCGGGCGCGGAGGGCCGGAGGCGCGCTGAAACCTTCCGTCGCGACGTGCTGACGACGCCGAGAGGCCTGGGAGAACGCAGCCCTGGCGAGAGAGGGAGCAGAGGGAGGGCAGAGGCGAGAGGAGGAGATGCCCTCTCCGAGGTCGCCCCCAGATATCCTGCAGCATGGACACGACGAAGCGCTCCCGCTCCTCTGGGACTCTTCTCTTGGCGGGAGGCGGGCAAGGCAGAGTCGCAGCGGGCGAGGGCGCGTGATTGCGCACTCTTCATCGTCCTCCTCCCCAACACCCTTCTGATCCACTGTCCCCTCCCCCCCTCCTCCCATCCTCGACCCTCTCCCCCCCCTCGTCCTCCTGACGCTCTGCTTTGAAAAGGCGTTGCTCGCTATATCCAGCGCGTGTCCTCCTTCTCCTTCTCCTCCGCCGCAACGAATACGGCCTCAATTGCAATTCCCTTCCGATCCTCTACATCTTCGTCGTCCTACTCCTCCTGCACCTCCCCCTCCGCCCCCTCCAACACCACCACCTCCTCCCTCTACTCCTCCTCCCCCTCCTCGAAAAGACCTTGGGCCAGATCCCAGCCGTAAGAAGCCCCGTAGATCCAGAATCGCCCTGGCCCGCGACTGGTTACTTCTCTGGAGCGAGTTAGGAAAGCACGGATGACCCTCAGAACATGCGTTAGCGCGAACGTGTTCTTGACCACCGAAGCCCTTCAACGAGACGCGTGCACCGCAATCAGGACTGACGCAGACTTCGCGAAACCCGCCTAAGCACATAATGGATTAACACGCGCCCTGGGGACCATCGAAAGGAGCGGGGGCGAATGCGGCTGCACCCCGAAGGGGCCCGCGAGGTACGCAGCAGCGGTCGCGAGTTGCCACGCCACGCGGCAGACCACTTGACGAACACGTCGGCTTTCGAGGCTGAGCATGTCCGGACTGGCTCAGACAGTTCCGATGTGCCCCCTCACTGGCGTCTCACACCAAGCTGGCAAGATTCGCCAGGCGCAGGACTCTGCCCGACCATGTGTCCGGGTGCTTTCATATCCCTCCTCCTCCTCCCCCTCCTGCTGCTGACCCCCTCCTCAACATCGGCCTCGGCACGACCGACAGCGCGCACGAAGCGCGCGCACCCTTACACAGAGAGTGAAGGCGCGCCCCTGCGCACGGCCGTTTGACCCGGGCCACTTCCGCCACCAGCTGTGCCAATCGAGACCGGACCATCTCAAGACTGCGCGGCCCGATCAGGGGAAGAGGCCTCGCAAACCGAATCCGTTTCCCATGACCCGAATCGTGCTTGCACTTCGGGGCCCTTGCTTCTGCTCTACGGAACTCTCCTCCTCCTCCTCATCCTCCTCCCCCTCCTCCTCCTCCTCCTCCTCCTCCTCCTCCTCCTCCTCTTCCTCCTCCTCATCCTCTTCCTCCTCCTCCCTGGGCCTGATCGCCGGTCTGCTGGCCACGTCGCCGCCGCCGCCGCCCCGTCGCCCGCCCAGTCGCCGGCCCCGGCGCCTGGGCCTGACCGCCGGTCTCCTGGCTGTGATGTCGTCGTGGCCGCCCCGTCGCCGCCTTCAATGGAACAGCGTAGACTGCACCGCACATCTTGCACCATCCAGGCTGCACCACATAGAAGACACCACATCGATGGCAAAACATATGGAGTGCAACACGTAGATTGCACAGCATAGGTTTCACATCCTAGTTCGCACCAAAAAGATTACACCGCATACGTTGCCACATAGAGGTTGCACCACATAGGTTCCCTTCTCTGAAAATCAATTAGATTCTGCCCCTACTACCCTCCCGGGGTGATCAACTCTGCTTCGCGTGCTGCAGTATACATATGATTCCGCCCCACCGTCCATCCTAAATACGAAATCGTACCATCCCAACCTCGCTGTTACCCCCCCCCCCCCCGCCACCCTCTGCAAAAACAGTATGCGCGCGCACTCGTTTACCAAAAATCATCTTCACGAATTCGTGCAGCAAAATTTGTCGAAGTGCACACGCGCGCGTTGTCGCGCACGCGTGCCGAAATCCTTCGAAAACCTTCGGTGCCGTAGAGACTCCAATACCAAGTGTCCAAACAACCAATGAAAACCATTTGTTTCGCAACACGGTTTTCGCGCGCGCATGTCGACATCGTTCGAACGCCCTTGCCCGCGTGCCGTCGGGGGAAGAATTTGCAAAACATTTGACGAATTGCACGCGCGCGTCGTCGCGCGCGCATGCTGGAATCCGTCAACAACCATCGGTTTCGCAGCGGTTTCAAAACCGAGTGTCCCAAACACGCATTCATACTCCAGATTTCGTAATACAAGGGAAGGCGTCTCAACCCTCCCAGACGAGAAGTTTTAGACCCTCCCAAACCATCCATGAAAGGGCGGCCCCTTGCCCAGATCCCCCCGAACCCTCCAAGACAGCTCGAATCAGACCCCCCCCAAATGTGACCCCCCGACTTTATTATGGAATCCGGAGTATCGAAATATATGTATAGAAACACAGGGTTTCGCAACATCTTTAAAAACAAAAAGTAGTGCGCTCGGGCACCTGCAAATTCCCCAGGAAGTTTCAAGTTTCTCTAGATGTTCATGGAATTCTGCCACCAGGGCCTCTGGCGCCGCATGCTGAAATCATTCGCGCGCCCTTGCGCGCGTGCTGGGGCGGGGTGGGGGGCACGACCCGTCAAATAATACTATGCGGGCCACTCTCGCGCGTCGGCCGAAAGCGCATGCCGAACTCTTTCCACAGCCTTCATCACCGACGCGAGATAGCCGTCATCGTCGTCGGCGCGATCAGCATCGGAGCCGGCACTTGCCGCGCCGTCGTCGCTGCCAACACCGTCACCAACATCGCTACTATCCTCATCGCGTCTACCGTTGTCGACGTTGCTATGATGCCGCGCCCGCCCAAGTCACCGACTCGCGCTGAAGTGCCCGCCGGGATGTGCACAGCGGTCAGCGCCACCACGGCAGCGTCGGTCGCGCCAAACTAGCTGGCCGCTGCGCGCGTGCTTGGGTTGGCGCGGCCGCATATATGCACAAACCAACGCCACGCACTCACCGCAATCGCAACCGCATGGGTTCTGCAAACCAAGTTGCGGGTGGGTGGGTGGGGTGTTTGCAAGAACATGTAATGTGTCAACTCGCTGATAGAATCAAGTACACAACGTGGATTGCGCCACATATATTGCGCAACATAGGTTGCTCCCATCATCCTGCACACAGAACTCATTCTGCTGATAAAAAACTGTTTGGGGCCGACGCCGGCTATCATTGCAACTTCACGTCAAGTAAGCCGACACTCTGCTGCTCATCCTCAACGTCCTGTTTTTTCCGCGCTTCCCCTCCCAAATCCCCTTCCTCTCCTGGTCCCAACCGGCCTTGTCCTCCTCGTCCTCGGGCTCCTGCTTAACATCCTCAAAACCCTCCTCTCTTCTTCCGCCTGCCTCCCCATCCACCCCCACACTCCCCTCTTCGTCCTCGTCCCTCCTCGTTCTCCCCCTACTCAGTTACTCCCCCGCTCCTCTCATCATCCCCCTCGCCGCCGCCTTTCCCCTGTACAGCCCTCGGCTTCTCCTCTCCCCTTCTGGCCTCTCGGCACCGCCATGCCTCGCCCCCGCCCGCCTCAGAACGGGGCACAGGCGCCGAGCACTTGCGGCGGAAACGCTGGTAGTCATCGCGTAAACAATGGGGAAATCGCGCAAGGAACCAACATGAACTTTCCTGGCCGCGACGGGCATGTGCCACGAAGTGGCCCCCCGACCCTCATACTGAAGGGCATGGACCTTAGGTCAATGCCGTGGCTGCACGGCGACTACGTTCAGTCCCGCACGGGGACGCAGAGGCAACAAGACGACGGCTGCCCGCCAAAGACGGGACCACCCGCGGTCCTGCGTGCTCTTCAGCTCGCGCAGGCCCTCGTGGAGCGCCCTCGAGAAGCCCTCGGAGGCGGAGCCCACAAGCGCCTGGGGGCCGGGACGAAGGCGACGACGATGACAGGGATATGGACGAACAGGAAGAACATGAGGCCGCCATCCGTGGGGACCGGCATGGCACGAAAGAGCTCCCTACAAGTAGCCCCTGAGGCGGAGAGAGGCGGAGGAGAAGGAGGAGGAGGCGGAGGAGGAGGAGGAGGAGGAGGAGGAGGAGGACGAGGAGGGGCAGCTTCGCGTTCCTCGCTGAAATGTCTGGGTCATCCCGGGGGCCCTCGCATCTCGTCAAGGTCAGGCAACGGGGAAAACGACGAGGAGGGCGCCGAGGAAGCGGGCGAGGGCGCGGAGGGGCGGGAGAACGGCGGGAGGGCGGCAGGCCTGCCATCTGCACTCTCCTCCCCCTCGTCGTCCTCGTCTTCCTCCTCCCCCCCCTCCTCCGCCTCCTCCTCCTCCCCCTCCTCCTCCTCCTCCCTTCTCCCCCTCCTCCGCCGCCTCCTCCTCCTCCTCCTCCATCGTCGTGGCACGGAGTGGCCGCGTCTGCCGGAAAAATCCCCGCGCCGGCGCCGGCGGTCTCCTGGTGAGGTCGGCGGCTGCAGAGGGGGCAACGCCCCCCCCCCCCCCCCCCCTCTTGTCCAGCGCTCGACGCGGCCAGCGGGCCAACACGAGGAGAGAAAGAAAAAGGGGTCCTGGCGTCCTCCCCCTACCCCTGCACAAGCGCATATAGAGTTGTTTTTGTTGGGGGCAGCTCCTCCTCCTCGTCATCCTCCGTTGCCTTGTCTTGTTCCGCCTTCCCTCCTCCTCCTCCTCCTCCTCCTCCTCCTCCTCCTCCTCCTCCTCCTCCTTCTCTTCCTCCTCCTCCTCCTCCTCCATCCCCCCTCCCGACGGGGCGGAGGAGGAAGCGCAATGGAGGAGCAGTGGAATGGATGAGCAGTGGAATTGAGGAGGAGTGGATGGAGGCATTAGAAAGACAAAAAACAATGAACAACAACAAAAACTAAGAAACAACAGACCGACGGCTGACCCCCCCAAAAAACAGAAAGAACACATACAAAACATCATCAACAACAACAACAACAATCACTTTACCCGAACGCTGTGTTCTCACCAGTGCCAGGGTTTTCATGCGACGCCAGCCAATACCCCCACTTTGTGGGGGGGCAGTGCAAGCTCTACCAAATATCCACACGACTCTTCGCCACCACCCACACCCAGCTTCCCGCCCTATGACGTTCGGACACTTCACTTCGTGGCCTGCGGACGACCGTGGCTACTACACTGGCGTGGAGTACACACCCACAGAAGTTGTTAAGCCTACGTTCGTACACCCACAGAAGTTGTTAAGCCTTGTTAACCCACAGAAGTTGTTAAGCCTTCCACAGAACATCTGTTGCATATGATGCATATGGTACATGATACACATGATACACATGATACGTACTCACAAGATAGTTGATCACATCTTTAGGGCAAATTCCTGAGGGATGTGGGAATACACAAGAGAGAGAGGATATGGTTGTCCCGATGGTTGTCTCGATGGTTGTCCCGATGGTTGTCCTGATGGTTGTGGTTGTCCCGATCGTTGTCCCGATGATTGTCCCGATGGTTGTCCTGATGGTTGTGCTTGTCCCGATCGTTGTCCCGATGACTGTCCCGATGATTGTCCCGATGGTTGTCCCGATGGTTGTTCCGATGGTTGTCCCGATGGTTGTCCCGATGGTTGTGAGCGATGCCGGATCCTCACGCCCCCCGCCGGAGGAGGAGGAGGAGGAGGAGCAGGACAAGGAGGAAAGGAGAGGAGAGAGACGCAACCTATGGCGCAACCAATAGGGGGACGTTTTATTCTCGGCGGCCGAGGGCGCAACCTATGGCGCAACCGCAAGGGATTGTGGCCCCTGGCAGGCGCGCGAACCCCGTTGCAAGAGCGTGCGAAAGTAGCTCGCGCGAGCTCATGTAACATAAATGTTGGAAAACCATTGTTTTTTTTAGGATTCGGACAGCGCGCGCGGGTAGAAATTTTGAAAAGTCGTGCAGGTGTTTTTCGAGGACCTACGGTGCGATTCGTGTGATTTTATGATGCGCGGTGCTAAAATTCTTAAGAAACCCAATGGTTTTTGGAGATTTCGGCGTGCGCGCGCGAAGAAAAAACGAATGTGTCCCGCATGGTATTATTTGACAGGGATGATGGCCCTGGCAGGTGCGCAACCGTTGTCGCAGAAGTTCGAAAAAGTTGCTCGCAAAAGCCCGTTTGACAGAAATGTTTAAAAAGTGTTGGGTTTCCTACGAATCCGCAAGAGCGCGCGGGATGAGATTTTGACATTTTTTGTTGAAAAACCATTGGTTTTTTGATGTTTTTATGTTAAAATCGCTCCGAACACTAAGCTTTTGGAAGGATTTCGTCTTGCGCGCGCGAATGTCCACTTTACCTTATTTTTTGCAAGGGATTCTTGAAATTTGATTATATTAGAACAAGAAATGTCATTTTCTATTGTTTTTTGCAAGGGAAAGCGGATTACAACAAAACAACCGGATCCTGTACACACCCTCTTTTCTGAGGCTTCCTCACGAAAATGATGAAAATGTAGCTGCGGCCTAGGCGGCGCAGGGGGGGCGCGCACCAGGGGGCCCAACAATAATTATTCTTTAGAATAAATAATGTTCAACAACAACAACAACCAACAATATTTCAATACTTACTCCACCGTTCCACTGATCCACCGCCCCCTCTCTCCTCGTTCCACCCACGCTTTCCTCCCGTCCCCCCACCTTTCACTCCTCCGCCTCCTTCTCCCCCTCCCTCCGCCTCCTCCTCCCCTCCTCATCCTCCTCCTCCTCGCGCCGCACGGCGCCGACGCGGGGGTTCCCCTCAGGGAGGGGGGGAGGAGGCAGGAGGGAGGAGGGAGGAGGGCGCAGGAGGGAGGAGGACAGGGGAGGAGGAGAAGGGGGAGGCGAGGAGGGGGGAGGACGTGGAGGACGAGGAGGCGGAGTAGGAGGAGTGAGGAGTGAGGGGCGAGGAGGAGGAGGAGGAGGAGGAGGAGGAGAAGGAGGAGGAGGAGAAGGAGGAGGAGGAGGAGGAGGAGGAGGAGGAGGAGGAGAGTGGAGGGAAGGCGAGGAGAGGGGACGGGGAGGGAGGGAGATGAGGAGGGAGAAGAGGAGGCAGGAGGGAGGAGGGAGGAGGGCGCAGGAGGGAGGAGAACAGGCGAGGAGGTGGAGGAGGGGCAAGGCGAGAAGGGGGTAGGACGTGTAGGAGGAGGCGGAGTAGGATGAGTGAGGCGTGCGGCGCGAGAAGGAGGAGGCGGAGGGAGGGGCAGAAGGAGGAGGAGTGAAAGGTGGGGGGATGGGAGGAAAGGGTGGGCGGAACGAGGAGAGAGCGGGCGGTGGATCAGTGGAATAGAGGAGTAAGTATTGACATACATAGCACCCCGCAATTGCGGATAAGAGTGAGGGGGCGGGCGCGGGCGACGCGGACGTCGTCGAGCCGGCGGACCTCGTGGCCCCCACCTTCCCTGTCGATGGCGCTCTCCTTCTCCTCCTCCTCCTCCTCGTCCTCCTCCTCCTCTTCCTCGTCCTCGTCCTCGTCCTCGTCGTCATCGTCATCCTCCTCCTCCACCTCGTCCTCCTCTTCTTCCTCGTCCTCCCTCTCCCCCCCTCGTCCTTCCATCATCGTCCTCCCATTGTCGTCCACCCCCTCATCGGCCTCCATCATCGTCCTCCCATTGTCGTCCATCATCATCATCATCATCCTCCCCCTCCTCCCCTTCCTCCCCCTCCTCGTCCTCCCCCTCCCCCTCCTCCCCCTCCTCGTCCTCCTGCTGCTCCTCCTCCTCCTCTCTCCACATTCTCCTTACATCCTCCCTTCTTTCGCGTCCTCCTCGTCCCCTGTTTACTCCTCCTGCCTCCCCCTTCTTTCCCAAGATAACGGCAGCGCAATCCTTTTTTCCACATTATGCTCCCCGACTTCTCTGACCAAGGCCACTCGCCAGGGCAAAGTTGCTGGACGGGCTGGTGTGGATGCGCGGGGCTTGAAGAGGTCGTTGCGGGCGCAGACGGCATGCAAAAATCCGCAGCCTCGCTTGTGCGGCAGTGGTTTGTTCAGTGAACGTGGTTTGGGTCGCGGGTGGGTCGCGGGCTCTCCACCTCCACCTGGAAGGAATGCAAAAGCAGCCCGCCGCAGGCGCCGAAAAATTTGGCTTGTACACCGAACGTGGAATTGGTCGCGGGTGGGCCGCGGGTTCTCCACCGGGGACGAATGCAAAAGATGCCCGCCGCAGGCGCCGAAAAATTTGGTATGTACCCTGATCGTGGTCGCGGGTGGGCCGCGGGCTCTCCACCTGAAACGAATGCAAAAGATGCCCGCCGCAGGCGCCGAAAAATGTGGTTTGTACCCTGAACGTGGTTTGGGTCGCGGGTTGGTCGCGAGTTGGTCACGGGATGGGTCGCGGGCGGCCGCTGCGCGTGGGAGTGGGTGGGTCGCGGGTGGGTCGCGGGGTCGCGGGTGGGTCGCGGGTGGGTCGCGGGTGGGTCGCGGGTGTCGGGGTGGGTCGCGGGTGGGTCGCGGGGTGGGTCGCGGGGTGGGTCGCGGGGTGGGTCGCGGGTGGGTCGCGGGGTGGGTCGCGGGGTGGGTCGCGGGTGGGTCGCGGGTGGGTCGCGGGGTGGGTCGCGGGTGGGTCGCGGGTGGGTCGCGGGGTGGGTCGCGGGGTGGGTCGCGGGGTGGGTCGCGGGTGGGTCGCGGGGCGGGTCGAGGGGTGTGTCGCGGGTGGGACGACGCCTACAAGCAACAACGACAATAACAACAACACCAAAAACAACAGCAACACCAACAAAAACAACAAAAACACCAACAACAACGACGATAAGATAACAACAACGCAACAAACAGACTTCTCATCACAAATTCCTTATTCAGCCACGCACCCAGGGACAATGAATGACCGTTCGGCCCCCTCACTCTGATTTTGGTGTTTTGTCGTTGTTGGTTGTTCCTTGTGTTGTGTTGGTTGTTCAGCCGTCGGTCTGTGGTTTCTTTGTTTTGTGTTTTATAAATTGTGCTGTTTTTGGTTTTCAATGCCTCCATCCACTCCTCCATTACACTGCTCCTCCATTCCGCTCCCTCCTCCGCCCTGTCCTTCTGCTCCTCCTCCGAGGAGGAGCAGGAGAAGTTCTGCTTCTCCCGAGGAAAAAGGAGTGAGGAAGAGGAGCGGGACGAAAGCTCCTCAGGCTCATCCAGTCTGGAGTTCCACGCCCCTCACCCCTCAGCCTTCGCTCCTCCTTCTCCTCGTCCTCCTCCTCCTCCTTCCTCCTCCCTCCTTGCCCTGCTCCAGGGGCGTGGAGCAGGAGGAGAAGGACGTGGGGGAGAAGGGAGCGGAATGGAGAAGTGGAATGGAGGATCAGCGGACTAGAGGAAGAGTGGACAGAGGGAGAGTGGAAAAAGGGAACGCCGCGAGTAGCATCAGATGTGTTGAAACAAGCCCACACCGATTCTAGCAGGGGTGGGGGAATGCGCCAGCGCCAAAAAAAACCCTACTTCGTTGCCGCTCAGCCCTCGCCGCCACCCTCCCAGATGGTCATATCCACCCAACGGTCGGGGGGGCGCCAGCTATGGCCCGGCCCGCCCTTTGCCCGAGATCAGTGCAGCCGCCCTCCCGGCTTGGCCGGGGAGGCATCCACACCGACCCCAGGCTCAGGATCGGCCCCGCTCGGATCGGTGAGGCGCACAGTAATCCTCCTCCGACCCTCCGCCTCCCAGCTGCAGCACCGAGCCAACACGGGGGCAACGCGAACGTCTTCTGATTCGGCGTTTCGACATTGGGCGGAACGGGGGATAAAGAGGGGGGGTCTGGCTACAGACCTCCTCTTTAATGCGACTGCTTGCAGCAATGCGTCCTGTGTGGGAGACTCCACCTGCTCGAAACAGGCGCTAAAAGCAGTTAAGATCTACTCCATGGAGGGGGGGGTGAGCGGGGGTGCGAGGGCCCGCGCCGATCGGCAAAACAACGAAAAGGATAACGATCACAACAGGGAGGACAAAACCCTGCTCGCCCCATCACACCTCGGCCGTGCCTTAGAGCGCACATTCGGCCCGCGAGAACCTGCGCATCGAGGCTTCAGCCTCGATGGCTGCAGCTCAGCTGTGTAGGAGGCCACGCTGCTTCAGCACCGTAGGCTACGTAGCACCGTAACCTCGACGCCATTGGTGTGCTTAGCCACGGTGCCTCGAAGCCCCGCCGCTTCCAAGGCTACGGTTCTCAACTGGGCAGCGGCTTAGCTTCAGCCCTAAACCTACGAGGCTTAAGCCTCGGAGGGCTGCAGCTCAGCTGTGTAGGGGGGGGGGCCTCCTTGGTCTCCACCTCTGCGCAAGGCCGACCCCGCCCCCTTCCTGGGCAAGCGGGCGTTTCCTGGAGCGGGCCCACAACAATTACCATGGCAAGAGGCACCCTAAGAGCAGCAAGGGTGAAGTGGTGGGTCGAGGGGCAGGAGGGCGGCAAGCGAAGACGCGCATTCCTGTGCGTGCCTGGGGGCTCCTTGACGACACACGGAGTGCGATGGGGTGTGCCCTCTGCGTCAGAGACGTACGCGGGAGCTGGCAGCAAGAAGGGCCAGAGAAGTGCGGCAGAGTGTGTGCTCTTGTTGTGCCAGAGGCGTGCGCGGGAGTGGAACATCTGGCAGCACGACGAGCAGGAAGAACACGGGGAGCAGGGCCATGTGCGAGGAGGAGGAGGGAGGGGGAGGAAGGAGGAGGAGGAGGAGGAGGAGGAGGAGGAGGAGGAGACAGCCTTTTCACCAGGGATCGTGGCCATCCAGACCACCGGATGTGCAGCTGGCATTAAGGCGAGCTCTCAAGCAGATCGACCTTACGCAAGATTGTCCCTAGGCAAGACTGACCTAGGCGCGCGGCCTTAAATGGACGCGGGGGACCCAACCCCAAGAGCGAAAAGCAGCTAGAATTTCATCGACTTCAGCGATCGGGGGGCCCCAGTGTGCCCGCACCACAGGTCACTCTGGCGAAAGGTCACTCTTACGTGTCGGCGAAGCGACGCGGCTGCCAGACCGGGCCATCTCGGGCTGCGGTTTCGGGCTCCTCATCCCACCCGTGGGACCCTTCTGAAGTACTTTCTTTAAACTCTATCCCAGACCTCATGACGCCATGAATTTTCACAACGTCAACCCCAGCCATTCGGGAAAGAGATCCCCAGAGGCACCAGCAGTGAGGGCCCCACAAGCGGGGACCCTTTCCTGGTAAATTGCCCAGAGACATACCGAACACTTTCTACACATATGGCGGCTACGATCACGACTGCTTCATTCAATACTTATGTATGAACATACCTGTAGCCCCCTTGAACACTTCGCCAAGAACGCCAAGAGAGCCGTGAGATCTCGTCTGGATCTTTCTTGACCTGCACTCCGCCGTGCCTCCCAGTGTTCCACGACACTCGCAACAGTTGCGCCAATCCGCAGCCCTTCCAAGGAGGCGTAAGATCTCGCCTGGACCCGGGTTGCCCTGCTCTCCGCGATAACTCCCAGGGCCCACAACATAGGCAACAGTTGCGCCAATCCGCAGCCCCCAAGGGAGCCGCGAGGCCTCGATGTTATCCCCGCTGCCCTCACCTCCGCCGTGCCGCACAGAAGCCCACAGAAGTAGCGAGCCTACGAACGTGGCGACAGCGGCGCACTTCGCACCCCTCCAGGGAGCCGCGAGGTCTCGGCTGGATCTGCGTACCACTCCACCCCGCGGGACCTGCCAGGAGCCCGCGACAGTGGCGACAGTGGCCCCAAGAGAACCGCGAGGTCCCAACTGGGTCTGCGTAGCGCCGCGGGACCTCCCAGGAGCCCACGAGAGAGGCGACAAGTGGCGCACTCCGCGGCCCCGAAGGGAGGTCCCGCCCGGGTCTGCGCACACCTCCACTCCGCGGAACCTCCCTGGCCCCACCCCCGCGCGAGCCCCCTGGGCGTACACCCTCTCCCGGCGTTGCCCCCGAGGGCATGCCCGGGCCCGGCCGCCGGGCGCCGTCTCGCCGCCCAGCGCGAGCAGCGGCGCCAGCGGGTCCTCCTCTTCCTCCTCCACGGGCCTGCCGCGGCCCGGCGGCGGCGGCGGCGCCGAGGCCGACGGCGGCGGCGGCGGCGGAGGCAACGACGACGACAGCCCCAACGACGCCGACGCGGACGCCTGCGCCGACGCAGAGGTCGACGGCGACCACGGCGCCGCCGACGCCGCCGACGCTGACGCCGCCGCCGTTGCTGCCGCCCACGACGACGACGACGCCGACGCCGCCGACGACGCCGACGCCGACGCCGACGCCGACGCCGACGACGCCGACGACGCCGACGACGCCGACGACGACGACGACGACGACGACGACGACGACGACGACGACGACGACGACGACGACGACGACGACGACGATGGCGACGATGGCGACGGCCCCCGGGCAGCGGCGGCGCCCGCGGCCGCGGCCGCGGCTCTGAGCGCGCGGCGGCGCAGGCCGAGCCGCCGCACGCTGGAGAGCCGGCGGGCCTCCTCCTCCTCCTCCTCCTCCTCCTCCTGCATACCGCATACCTGCCCGAGGATCGTGCTTGCCCCCTCGCCCGGCCGCGCGCACACGCGGCCCCGTCCGCTCTTCCACGGGGGTGCCCCCTCCCCAGACCCCCTCGAGTTCTGAAAAAGTCACGACGGGAGGTGTGTCTCTATTTTTGGCCTCTGGGGGCCCTTGCCGGCCCTCGGGAGCGTCAGAACACGACTCGGGACGGAAAACCGGTCCCGGGGAATGTGTCGAGACCTCGGGGGGTCGACGTCATGAAAAAATCATGACGTCGGGGGTCTGGGTCCGGTGCCCCCGGCCATCGATGATACTGTCAAGAGCCCTCAAGGCTGTAATGGCGTAGGAATTGTTCGCCAACCAGTGCTTGCACTGAAAGGGTCCTGGCGGAAAGTGAAAGATTTGACGAACATGTCCCGCCGATTTTGGTGGCCGGCTGGGTTCCCGGGTTCCCGGTTCCGGGTTCCCAGGTTCATGGTTATGGGTTCCGGGCCGATTTCGGTGGGTTCCGGGTTCCCTGGTTCCCAGTCGATCTCCTTATCGATCCAACCCCAGGAGTGCAAACGAACACGAATTATGTTACGAACCATGCTCAAACATATGTTGAACATAAATTATGTAAAACGTGTGTTTTAACCTTAAAAAGGTATGCAATAACATAATTTATGTAAAACACATGGTTTAGACAATTAACAAATACATGATAATTGTGTTATTGTGTAACATACGTGTTGTAACCTGTGTGATGTAGTGTTTGTTGTCACGCAGTAGATCATATTATAAGGTGTTTGGGCGTGCTGGTGTTAAACGAAGCCTGTTGCGCATTTGGGTTTGACCGCGATGGGTCTGCTTTGTCCCTGCTGGATCAAGCTTGCTACGTGGTGTCTGCTGATCGTCGAGCAACGCGCACATATGGCACAACCAATCGAGCAACAACCCCATGATAAATCGATGCTCTTGCATCCTCATGCTCCCCGCTCAGTGCGCGAGGCGTTCGGAGAAAGCGCGGGCGGGCGGAAAGTGGCGGAAGGAGGGGGGGAGGAGGAAGAGGAGGAGAAAGCGGAGGAGGAGGAGAAGGAGGATGAGGACGGGGAGACGGGGAGACGGGGAGACGGAGGAGGAACTCTATGAGGTGAGGTTGCGAGAAAAACGAGGGGGATGAAGGAACAGGTAGGAAGAGGAACAGGACAGAGGAAGCGACGAGCTAGGATATGGTTGCCTCCCGATATTTCTGAGCGCAGCATCGCGGGGCACGTGTCGGGGTGGGTCACCCGATCATCGCCTCGAGCTCCGCATCGCCATGCGGAAACAAACTGTTAATTGGCACATGGGGTTGCCAAGGGGGGCAACGGCACGGCGGCCAAAAAAAGGTCCAGGATCGAGCTTCTCCTCTACCCCCAGCGGCTTCCAGATCTGCGGGGGGGGGGGAACGACATCGTTCTCCAGCAGTTTTGAGGGCCAGAGGGGTGGGAGGACGAGAAGAAAGGGGAGGGTGAGGAGGACTAGGAGGAGAAGGCGGAGGAGGAGGAAGCGAGAGGGGGAGGAGGACGAGGAGGAGGAAACCGGGGGAGGAAGAGGATGACGAGAAAGATGAAAGCAGGAGGAAAAGGATGATGGATGAGGAGGAGGCGAAGCAAGGAAGGGAGGAGGAGGAGGAGGAGGAGGAGGAGGAGGAGGAGGAGGGAGGAGGAGGAAGAGGAGGAGGGGAAGGGGAGGGGGGTGGAGGAGAGGGAGGAGGCAGAGGAGGAGGAGGAGGAGGCACCAGCCAGGGTCCTCAGGCCCCTCATCAGTGTTTTCTCGTATTCCTCCTCCTCCTCCACCTCCTCCTCCTCCTCCTCATCCCCCTCCTCCTTATCCTCATGTTCGTATGTTTCCTCCTGTTCCTCCTCCTCCTCCTCCTCCGATTGCTGCTCGTTCCCTCCCTTCCATCCTGCCTCATCTTTCCCCTTGGGGTACCTGCCTAAAAACCTGCAAGATAACGATGTCACAATTTCTGACACGGCCGCACGACTCGCAGGTAATTTGCCATCTCGCGCAACCCGTCCGCAATGTCTTGCGCTTCCTGGTTGTGGGGGCGACTGGTGGGAGGAGGAGGAGGAGGAGGAGGAGGAGGAGGAGGAGGAGGAGGAGGAGGAGGAGGGGGAAGAGGAGGAGGAAGAGGAGGATGAGGAGAAGGAGGAGGAGGAGGACAAGGAGGAGGATGAGGATACGGAGGAGGAGGAAGAAGATGCGGAGGAGGAGAAGGAGGAGAAGGAGGAGAAGGAGGACGACGACGAGGAGAAATACTGCAATGGAGGAGTAGGACAAGGTCGATCCTGTTGGTAGGCCCTCTTGCGGGCCCGCTCCTCGGGGGACGAGCGTCCCGCGGCCTCCTCGATTAATCGTGAGCTTAGCCGCAGCCTGCTGCGCCTCTAGCTCGGATCGCAAGGGTGGATCCATGGGTGCGGAGGCGAGTGACAGGAAGTGCATGATGACAAGGGAGAGGATGGGGGTAGCGGAGAGCGGCGGTGGGCGTGGAGGAGGTGGGCTGGCACGAATGGATACGAACACGAGAACGGAGATGATACTAAAGAGGAGGAAGCGTGCGATAAGGTGGATGGCGTGGATGATGGTGACGGGACAGGGTGCGATGCAATGTCCTGATTAATTTCACGATCGGCGCCGAGGGGAGGCTGAGATGGAGAGGGTGCGAAGCACGAGCATGGAGTAGATGACGCACAGGAGGGGGAGCAGAGCAGGCGCTTCAGAAAAGAAGCGTTTTCCAGAAGATGTGCAAGGGCAAGGACGAGGCGGAGGGGAAGACGATAAGTGGAGTGAGGACGTGGAGGGCAGGTATGAAGGGGTTGGCCCAAGCCGCGGCTCGCGCCCCCGAGACAGAGTTACCGGCCTCCTCCTCCTCCTCCTACTCCTCCTCCTCCTCCTCCTCCTCCTCATCATCCTCCTCCCTGTCCTCATCCTCCTCCTCTTTCGGCCCCCCATCCTCTCCTCCTCCGCCTTCTCCTCTTCATCCTCCTCCTCCCTTCTTTTCTCCTCTTCCTTTCTCCTCCTCTCCTCCTCCTCCTCGTCCAGTGGCGCTGCACTGGCTGTCTTAAATCAGATAACGCAGCGCACATCTCCACAGCTGCGCGGGAGATTGCGGGATCATGCGGGGCGTGCGCGGGCTCGTCCCTCGACGAGCATCTCGTCCCACGACGAGCTGCAACAGGCAACGGGTGCTCGTCCCACGACGAGCTGCAACAGGCAACAGGCAACGGGTGCTCGTCCCGCGGCAACGGCGCGACATGGTCTGCATTATCAGTGACACGGGTAGGGGGAGAGGAGGATTAGGAGGCGGAGGAGGAGGCGGAGGAGGACGAGGAGAGGAGGAGGAGGTGGAGGAGGAGACATAATGATGGAGGAGGGGGGATGAGGGGGAGGAGGAGGAGGAGGAGGCTCCCTCGTGTGTGTTCCTATCCTTCCCTCTCTCTCTCTCTCTCTCTCTCTCTCTCTCTCTCTCTCTCTCTCTCTCTCTCTCTCTCTCTTTGTCATGCCTCTATCGCTCTCTCAACCTCTCTCACTGTAAGTCACTCCATTTGTCGCGTCCGCTGTGCGTAACCCTCCCTCGATCTATCCTTGTGCGCTTTCGGTCATCATGTTGCTCTCCCGCTCTCCAGGTCTTCAACTGCTTGCTCCTTCCGTCGCTACATCTCGCCCCCTTCCCCCCCCTCGACTCTGCGTACGTTTGTTCCCGATGCGTATCATACCTCTCAGTGTTCCATTTCCAAGCCCCGCGCTCTCTCTCTCTCTCTCTATCGTTCCTTCATCGTGGTTGTATTTAGGCTTGGGTCTCATCCGAACTATCCCTATTGCATGGTGTTCCTATCTTACTGGTATGGTTACCCCCCTCACTCCTCCCTCCACCCCCCTGAATCGAGTCGTCCGTCTGCGCCGATGCCCCTTTGCGTCCTCGTTTTGTGTATCCTGACCCCGTTCCTCGACCATATCGCGTACTCTAACCCTCTCGCCGTGTCCCGTTGGAGGCGGGTCTCTTGGTAAAGCTGGATTGCCACCGCCGCCACAGCAGGATTCTGCTCGAAATTGCAATCAGGACTCGCCCCAGAAGAATTCCAGACGGCGTTGGCCCCCTCCAATAACCCCCCTTTCGTGATTCATTAATGTGCTTTACCTTTCTGAGACCGTCGCCGCAACGTGGGACTAGTGCACCGCGCCTACTCAGGCATTGCATCATCCGATGGCACTGGTGACGCTTGTGCTTTTGCAGCTTCCTGCAACCTCCCCACGCACGCGGAGGAGGAGGAGGAGGAGGAGAGGAGGAGGAGGAGATGGAGAAGGAAGACTAGGATCAGGACGATAAGGAGGAGAAGGATTGAGATGTGGGGGAGAAGGGGGAGGAGGGGAGGAGGGACCTCCTCCTCCTCCTCCTCCTCCTACTCCTCATCCTCCACTCCGCCTCCTCCTCCTCCTCCTCCTCATCCTCCTCCTCCTCCTCCTCATCATCATCATCATCATCATCATGCCACTCCTTCTCCTCC